ATCCTTTTTCTTCCTGCGTCCTCTTCCTTTCTTCTTTCTCTCTCTCTCTCTCTCTCTCTCTTTTTGGCCGGCGGGTTTTTTTTTTTTTGGGGGGGGGGGGGGCGCGACCAGCTATTATGTAAAAATCTGTAGAACAGGTGAATGCATGTGGCATCTGTTCTATGTTTTACATAATAGCAGTGAAGGGATGTTCCTTTGTCTACCACAGAAATTGTTGAGGGTAGAATGAGGAATTGTATATTTTGTCCGCTTTCTTTGTCCGCCATATTCATAGTGGATCTAGTACCCCATCGATTTATATTTGTTCATAGGGTTCGTTTAATTTGCACGAAACGCACAAGTTCCCCAAGGGGAAGGAGAAGTGCTTTTATTATGTGTATCAGTAGCCATTTTACAGGTGAAAATAAGATTGGGTTTTTAGCAACAATTCGTGGTCAAGTAACGCGACTCGCGGCTTAACCCTAAAAAGCCGGGCCGGGCTATTTGAGGTCTTAGTACGGCCGGGGGTGGGCATTATGACCCCCCTTAAAGGCCCACTGCACTACTTGTAGCTACTTGCGCCCTCTTAAAAAAAAACAATGCCTAATCGGTGACCATTGGTCCCCCATGATCCTCTTTTTCTTATGTTAACTGAGAGCTGAGTTGATGAGATAACCACCTGTCCAGTGACCTTGCAGGGCGCTCTAATTCCTCCTGTAAACTATGGCAGATAAGCTTTAAGATCTCGGCCGCTAAGCTGCCGATTGCCGCAAAAATTTGCACGCATGTCAAGTGAAGTGTATAGAATAATATCATAATTTCAATTTTTGAAAAATTCACTCATTTGCATATTTATGGTAATCTATGCAAATAAAGTCATACAAATCACATTTTTACCCATAAATCATATATTATTCATATTTAAGCATACTTTTTCACTACATATATTCATTAGACCATTTTGAATAATAATACGACAAATTTTTTTGGAAGAGCCAGCTTATTCCTTATGTTATCCCTTGTTTTGTTAATTTCTTATGTATTTCATTGTTTTTTTAACTTATGTATTTCATTGTTTATGTTGATTTATTTCATTTCTTACTACAATTCAACTATTTGACTCCCAAAACAACCACCTGAACTTTAAACAAGACCCAATAACCCATGTTTGATCTGTTTTTAGGAAAAATGACTTTTCCATATGTTTTGTACACAAATCACGAAAATGAGCGATTTTCGGGCTGACATGCAAAGACAAAAGATCACGTGACCTTGTAACCGTAGGTCCGATTTTCAAAAAAATTCTTTTAAAAGTTGCGCAAGACTCGAAAGAAAAAAGTTACCGAGCGGTGGGGCGCCATCCATATGCGTTCCCGAGCAATCGGAAAAATCGTGTAGGGGGAGGGGGGGGGCCATAATGCCATAATGCCCCCCCCGGCCTTATTAGGCTTAAAACCCTACCCGAGGGACCTTTGTTAAGAATCGATGTACGTTATCAATTGGCCATTGGCATTACATAAATATATCAACAAATTATACTTTTTACAGCGCATTATACCATAAATAATAACAAAGGTGATAAGTGCTTCACGTGATATAGTTACGTGCTCTCATTCATTTTGTGGGTCACCATTTACTGTTTTGATGGCCTTAGCATCATTTAAATGGGTCACGAGTCTAAAAATAGTCTTCATATATGCATGGAGTACTCAAAGGTCGATGGGAACATCAAACACGTGATCATAATATAGCGTTATTGAAACAAAGTCCAATGTCAGGGGCATACTCAATATGTACAGTAAGGGTGTTGAATAAATATTGTGCCCAAAATTGACAAGATAATGTGATTGGAGAGGAGATAGTGCTGACAGCGGCATTTATGTCATAATGTATGATATAACCTAAAAGTTGATATAACTGAATTTCGTTTCCTTCCTGCATGGTCAATATTTTGTAACTCTCATTTACTAAAATTTCCCATAGAATTTAGAATTTGTGAAATTGCTTATTTACACTGAATCACAGGTGCAATCTCACAAGCTTGCAAACAAGCAATCGTTTGATAATCCAACCAAATAAATACATTTTCAAATTAATTGATCATTGAATGAATCATTTATCTAATTATTCAACAATTTAACCCATCTCAATCTATCAGTCATTCAACCATCCAATTGTTCCAGCACTCCATCATCATTCAATCCTCAATAGGCGGTGTCACAAAGGTGGTGTCACACAGAGGCCAAAAATTCGGATTTTAGTTACCCTCTTAATTGGCTGTCTGTCACCAATTATCCCTTCAAAAATCCTCATATGAAGCAAGATAATTCTCTCTTGAAAGGATTTTTAAAGGGTTTTTTGAAGGGATTTTTCTGTCTGACACCAATGTTGAAATAATCCCTTTAAAGGTCAGTGTAAGGGCGCGTTCATGCTTGATTTTGAAGGTAGAATGAGCGATCTGAAACGCTCATCGTAAACGCTCATCGTGATCGCAGTTCCACGGTGTACTGTTCATGCTTACTCCTCTGGCTCATCGAGGCAACTCTCCGTGTGTGGCCTTAATTGGTCTTCCAGCTGGATTCGCAAACCTTCACTGTGCATGCTACGTAGACCCACTAGAGGTCAGTGCGTTGACCCCATTTAAACGCGTTTACAAATTGTAAACGCATCTTTTTGTGAGTTTACGATCGGCGATCGTGATCGCCGTTTTTCGGTGATTCTACAAAAGTAAGCATGGACGCAACCGTGTTTTAAACTAAACGCGTAACAGATGCCTGATTCTGGCCAGAAAAAGTGAAGCATGAAAACGCCCTTAGTTTAACGTGATTGGCTGGCATAGGGTTTTTAACGCGCTATCATTGAACGTGTGATGTCACAATGCTTATCTACCTAAACGGCACATGCGCAATGGCCCATCAAACATCCGGATTTTAATTATCCAGATTATTCGTAGCCTGTCTGTCACCAGTCTGTCACCGACGTAAATGACACTATGAACATGACAGACAAAGAAAGCGGACAAAATATACAGTTCCTCAGGTTGATAAAGGAACATCCCTTCACTGCCATTATGTAAAAAGGTGACACCTGTTCTACACATTTTTACATAATAGCAGTGAAGGGATGTTCCTAATTTGTCTACCTGAGGAACTGTATATTATGTCCGCTTTCTTTGTCAGTCATGGTTTATTCAAGATGGGTCGGGATTTTTCTGTGTGACACCGCCTAATGAATCATTTATCATCCATTCAACCAACCAAACACAATCAATGATCAATACAAAGAACAAAAACAATCTAACAATCATCCATTGATGGATCATTCATCATTAAATATACCATTCCATCGTCATCGAATCGTTGAACTATCCATCAAAACATGATCGTAAAGACTTTCGAAAAATCAACCTAAATTTCTGGTCATCTTTAAAGGGACAGTCAAGTTCTTGTTTAAAACCGCAAATACCCTCAACGTGCATGGTTATTGCTCTTATTCTTATTTATGACATTTTAGTGCCCTTTTAGGACCTAAAATTGCTATGAAGGTATTTTTAGATCCTAAAATGTGTGAAATCTAGCTTAAATCTGATCATACTAATTAAGCTCCACTTGAAACAAATACGGTGACCGTTAATTCATTAATTAATAATAACAATACACAGGCCGGTATTACATAATCAAAACCCGATTTATATGGGATATAAAATAGGAGATCGAAAGCACTCTAAATTGATTATTTTGAAAGTCTGTAAAGTCATGTTCAATTGACTTAGAAGCAAAGAAACAATACACAACATAACAGCATGAGGCAGAAAGACAAGTTGTGATTTTTTTCTGTTAAAAGGCTTTTCTTTTTCCCCAACTGGCTGGCTCATTGCTTAAGTACAAGAAAAAGAAAATACAATCATAGATATTACAGATAAGATAATCATCCATTCCAGTACAGCGTCTGAGCAGGATCAATCCCCTAAACAAAGCAATAAAAATATACCACAACTGCTGCAAAATGACTACAAATGAAATTAAAAATAGCTACATCAACAAATCAAAATTCTATTGTACAAAGTAATTTCAAAACTATATTGGGTTGAAACAGTTGTTAATCATCGGTAATCATCATGCACGATATTGGTAATGAGTTAGTAATGTCAAATCTAAATTCTACAAACAATTTCCTTCCTGAATATCTTTACCATGACAAACAAATCTGTATTTCATATTATAATCAGATTTAGAAGACACTCCTGTTCCTTTCCTTCTATGTATTTATGTATTCTATGTAGTTTCTATAGCATAAGTGGAGAATGCCCTTATGACTGGTTAAAAGTGAACCGGTGTGTTTCAGCATCTTACGTTTAAAAATCACATCGTGTCCAGCGGAACCAAATATATGATACATGCTTCATTTGTTTGGAGCCCGAATGGCATGGACTCAAATCATCTTACGCTGAGTTAAAGCTCTTCCAGCTCCAAAAAGGCGAGTGTTGTTTGACTTATATCATTATATGAAGCTTTGATGTAATTATATGAAGCTTTGTTTTGAATAGTTCTTTCTACAGACTACACCATGATAAACTTGAAGCCAAACCTGCCTGAATCAATGCCCACCCTCTCTGTAAAGACCACATTGTATAGGCATCTATAGAAAATGGTTGTTTTAGTGGTATTTGTTCATCAGGAAGAATTGTCTTCTGTTAGGTGCCAGAAGGGAGCTAACTAGTTTCACGACAATTAGTCCTGCAAAAGGGACATAGTAAAAATGTCTTCTGTTAGGTGCCAGATGGGAGCAAACTCTTTCACTTTCACACAGAGTCGACGCCAGTTTGATTGTGAACAGATGATGTGCGCTGTTACGTTTAATTTCAGCAAAATACTTCTATAAAAACTGCATGCTAAATGTGCTACATCTTTTTAGGGTGTATACTTCTTCACATTCCTTCTGTTTGGAGCCAGTAGGGTGTTAACTCATGTACTTTATCACAGAGTTAATGCCCTTTTTTCTCTGAACCGATGATTTCATCCAGTTTCTGTCTGCAAGATGTAAGCTCATGAAATAGATAAAACCGTCTTGAAAGTCGTCTGTAATAGACCGTAAACATCGAAAAGTCTCAACTAAAAAAAAAAAGCCACTTTGTTCCCCAAATTCATGCAATTATTATACACACTTTTGAACTCTATATTACATTTTGTTACAAAGTACATTTCCTCAAATATATATATATCAGAAATTTGCATACATTTGAATATGATTAAAATTGAAGGAAAACGATGGCATGTTGGAACCTTTTAAAATACAATCAAATACATCATTTACAAACTCGCAATCAAATTTGGACCAACAAAACTAACTTACGGTAAGACTATTCATCAAAATAGTCCTTTAAAAACCTCTTAAATATAAATCGACGTCTACATCTTAAGTCATCCTTACTTTCTTTCTTTATTTAATTGTTTTTCTTGGGGAAGGGGCAGGGTAAAGGAATCAATGATGTTTAATGATCCAAGTACACACATTATTCCATTAATAAAATGCAGCTACAAGTCGTGTATATGTATGCAGCCCATTATGCGAACAGAAAAAGAACAAAAGACAAGAAAAGTGGCTGATACTACTGTATTAACTAGATATAATTCATGCAAACTTGTGCTAATCATGAGTTAGAGTGATTCAAGTGATTTAGTAGAAAATGAGAAATGAAGTCTTGAAATTGGCAACATGTGAAATTTATAATCACTATTTTTGTGTACAAATTGGCAACTTCTATTTGAGTTTTTAAAACAAATTCATGTTTCAATGCACATTTAAAAAAAAATAAAAAAATGAAAGGGTGGGAAATACAAATTGTTGCTTAAATTGAGGAGGAGAATCGGATTAATTTCCAAAGTCTTAACACTTTTTAGAAAACCCTGAACTGGTCTGATTGAATTAGTATGGTATTCCATAATGGGCAAATAACACAAAATATTACACAACATGTACTATGGAAGCAGCTAATCATACAGATAAAAGAAAAATAGTAATAACAGCGAAACAAAAAGCAAAATTAGTTATTTCAAAATAGAAAATATAAATTCAAAGAAACAAAACACGATATTGGCAGAAACAGAAAAAATCAATGTCTTTCACTATATTCTACAAAGAAAAAGGCATCGCAAGAAAAGCTTGTACATGTCAGTCCATTGCGTCTATGAAATCTGTCGAAGCTCATAAATATAATATGCAAATCTGAATAATACACTGCAGAGACGCCGACTAAATATACACATAAGGCCGTAACGAACAAGATTATATATACGCTCTAGGTCGGCTAACTATGCTATGAATACAGTGTGTATGGGCAATGCAGCCATATGCATATACGTGTGGTAGCCAGCCCTCTCTTATAGCCACTGCAACTTTGAGCCAACATTCATTGTGGTATTTGGTAAAGAGTACAATTTTGCAGTGGTGTATTTGATGTTACATGTACTCATGGATAATAACCTTGGCTTACCACCAGTATTTTCATTTCTAATGTGGTATGCCGTATATGTAGCAATCACTCCCTTGTTAATTTGCATGTACATAAAGTAATATTCTGGTTCCGCATATGGTGTTAAAAGGTTATTAAAATCCTACAAGTACAAGTACATATCAACTATGGGTTAGTCCTATCATTATCATTACTTTTTTGAGGGTTACTCGACCCCCTTTCAATTAAAAAAAAAATATATTCCTATGAGTTTAAGATGTTGAATTGTTTGGTTAAGTTATAAATGGGTAAATGTATATGGATTTCTTTTTTAATTACAGGCATAGACCTCACTCAAACCAAGCTTCTGCAAGCCATGTGTATAATAACAGATCAAGCTAAGCATGCAAACAACTAAAAAGGCTTGTCAAAATCTGGTAAATACAACCCCAAAGTTTCACTTTCAGATTTAGATTACAATAGGGTAAATCGAATAGGGCGTTTAATCTAGTATTTGCTCTGGATAGGAGTACACACATGACAATGATACAAAATGAAACATAAGAGGGAGCCAGAGCTGTGAATAGAAGTGTTGATTCAAATGTGTACTACATGACAGAATTTAAACAGCCAGATCATAAAGAAAAGGCATTGAATTGTGTAAGGTAATTTCCAGTAAAATCAAAGAAACCAGCAAGAAAATTTAAAAATAAATTTGAGTTGAATAGGACACATGTCTGAATAAAATAAGAAGTGACGATTAAAAAGAAAATGGAAAGGAGAAACAAAGTAAGCTTAGAAGGACAAGCAAATGATAAACAACAACAAAACAAAACGCAAAACAGGAGAAACTTGAGAAATGACTTGAGCAATTGAGCAAACCAACACATCCAGAATAACTACATTAATACAATGCCACACACATACATATTCCAAAAGGAAGCACATAAAACCTACAAAATGACAATGGATGGACTATTTTACATGTAGATAACTAAATAACTGAAGATAATATAAACAAAATATACAATCTTTTTATACAAACATAAACTTTAGGACGGTGTCAGGAAAATATACCTTTACTTTTAGTAAATAGATCTATCTCTCAATTTCTTCAGAAGTGATTTTATTGTATGAGTCCGGTACAGTTTTTATTTATTATTATACTAGACTTTTGAAAGATTCTGGTTTCCTTTGGACCCAAGAATAACTAGCCAAACTACGATCATAAAGACACACAACTGAGTGGACGTTCTTGTGTCTTTTACTAAGTATAATATCTATTGAAAGAGATGCAATTAAGTTTGGGGAGACATAATTGAAAAAGCACCGCGTACATGAAGGCGAGGTGTACAAAATATATGCATGGAAGTAAACAGTTCAACACTTCATTCTGCATGGTATCCCTTCTTGCACCTAAAGTTTGTAAGTCTTCCTGCATCCTAGTGCTTTACCTTAATAGTTAAACATTGATAACATTCTTTTACGGAGCTACATGTAAGGGGAGGTGAATTCAGTAAACCCTTAAAACCATGGATGAACAAGGCAACAAAACAAAAACAAAGACAGTGGCACCACAATATACAACTGTTACAAATACCCTTTTTAGAAACAAAACAATACAAACCAATTTTTTTAAATGAAGAGAGTGGAGAAGAGAATTATTAAACATATTTCATGAATTTTAGGATTACACTGTTGTGGAAGAGTCAATGTTTTTGGCAAAGGGCTGCAAATTGTGCAAAGTCGAGGGACTATTTTCTTCCCCTCAAACCTTTCGAATAGCAGAGTTTTACTGCAAAGGCCTATAAACAAAAGCCTCATGTACATGCTTGCATTGTAAAATGTTGCTATCAAAATTATGCCTATAAATCCTCTAAAATCAACAGAATCTATGTGTACTTTAGTGGGTAAAATTTTAAAAGCAAGTTTGCCCGTAACTAACACTCAACTGAAACTCTATATTTACTGGATGATTGTTCGATGCTCATGATTACTACAGTATACAAATACACTTGCAATTACACTTCACAAATTTACTTCCGCCAGATGTATTCCCTATTTATTACCATCACAGGAAAGAAGCACACAATTTCGTCATTTCCTCCACTGTTTGGTTTATATGCATCCCTTAAAGCCATAGTTTGAAATGCAGTTCATTGATAAACTGCTTTATGTAACTTGTAATGGAAGCTTGTAAACTAATAGGTACTTTGTTCAATACATTTAATACCAACTACAACACAATGAATGTTTGAGTGTTCCAAGTTGATAACCCCACTATGGTCTCATTCAGGTAGGACGCTGCAAAAGTCTCTATTCTGTTGCACCGTTTTAGCGGATGAGGCGGCCATCTTGTTCTTTCATCTCTAAAAATTACCATTGAACAAGATAACGAATGCCAGTAGGTAAAACCTTCAAACGTGATATTACATGTACAAATGCATTACCTTATCTATTCTATTGGTGGATTATAATCTGGAGTAATTGAAAATTCTTTAAAAACTCATTTTTTTATACAATTTTTTTCTTCATACTGTTGAATTCTCTACTACCATACAAAAAGTTCATCAGTAGAGCTCAAGTTTTTCAGCACTGCATTGCTGCCGACTTTTAAAACAACATTGGACACACTTTTTTTTGTTTCAAATTTATACATTTCATGCCATTGCTGGTCAGCGTCAAATATCTTTCTTCAGTCTGCAACTAAATCAGCACCAGCGGCTCTTCAAGGCTCGGTGATGAAGCTCTGCAAATGTCTCGTAAAAAATCTGTTGGTCTCTCTTATTTTCGCATACAACGCACAAACAAACCGACACGCACAAAAATACAATTCTTGGTCTGATCCAATGGCATCGTCATAATCCTAGCTGTGACCAATCGCATGTGTCGATCTCGAGAGCATCTTGCTCTAAGCAGGGCTTTTATCCAATCAGAAGCTCTGTTTCATTCAAGAGTTCATGCTTCGCAGGACTCCCCCTACTTTAATATTCCAGAACTGTGCTGCTGCTCCCACACTGACCAATCACAAATCGCGTACTACAGCCCTAGGCACCACCATACATTGTATGGTCCAATCATGTATGGCGTCATATTTTGTATTGTTCCATGACACACATGCATGTAAGAGTTTCTTGTCAATATGCTCCATGGGCTAAGGTCTATGGAACCTGCACAGGATAACAAAGAAATAGAAAATGAGGGAAGGGGAGAATGAATTAGAGTAAGAAATATCAACTAAAAGCAATTTGTTTTAAAAACACATGTAGAACCATTATAACATCGAATAAGAATTGTTAAATTCAATCTTGATGAATCTTACAAATTTGATAATTGGTATCAAACTGTAGTTTGTAAAAACCCATCCTACATGAGGTATGCAGTACTGAATGTAGCCTAACAATGTAAGAAGCTTATTCATTGTCAGTGAAACATGCTAAATTGCATATATATATATATATCAAAGTTGTTCATAATCATATATCACAAATATACATGTAGTGTATATACTAGCAATTTAACCATAAATGCATATGCAGTGTTCCCATGTGTACATTAAATCCATGGATTACAAATTCAATTAATGGAACCTTTAAACAATGAACAACATCCGATTAAAGATTACCAGGTAATTTATTCTTTCTTTACCTGGTAATTTTAGTTTTTACTTTACCTGGTAAATTTTTTACTATCTTCATGTACATTCATCTCAGTGCTCTTGAAGTCGTTCAACTCCTTACGGATGTAAGCCTAGAAAGAAACAAAACACAAACATTAAAGAAAAAAATATGACAGATGTATCATAAATACTACTTCTATTTTAGAATTTAAAGGAAAAAAAAATCACAAAGATGTTCGCTAGAGAATTTCAGATAATCATTCTGCTAAAGACTGCTATCACCCTTATACACCCTTTTTACAAACAAAAACATTTTCATACATATTTCACTATCTTTCTCACGCTTACTTCTTCAATGCTAAGGATCGATAAATAATGCTTTCATACCACATTTGTCTTCAAACACATTTTTTAGGGGGATATCTTTGCAGAAGTTTGTCTCAAATGACATCCTCTTTCACATTATGATACAGTTTAAGTGAAACTTTGACATCAAATCTTTGGCAAATTCGGGGCTCTACAACACTAATATAAAACTCAATGGCAACCCAAGCCATAAACCTGTATCTTTGACAGAATGACCGTCACTGGAACATCTTTTGCATCCCCAACTAACCTTGTCTTGTGGCGTTAACCTCGTCCACGGTTTGTCTCCTTTTCTATCGTAGTCTACTGCTTCTATAACCTCCACATACTCGTTAAAGTTGATGATATTTCGATTCCTTAGCTCGTCTACTGTTGGTCTCACGCTCAACTACAGGGATAAAAAAAGAAGTAGTCAGATATAGGAGGGTGTTGTTAAAGGTCGGTCACCATACGTAAATAATCATATCTGACAAATACATGTCTGTAAAAACCCAATTACACACACACACACACACACTATCAATTGCTGCTCTTTCGTCACGGCTAATATCCATGCAGGTTCATGTTTAAAAAAAAAAAAAATTTATTCTTCTTTTTAATTAACAGTCAAATCCTTCCTAAAGGTCACCTCTTTATAAAGGCTACCTGTCAAAAATGGTAAATATGTCCCTCTAGGGGAATATATGTTGTATAACCTGTATAGAAAGGCCATTTGTCTACACTTGAAACTATTCTTGTCAATCCCTTTTCTGCCTTCCTTGGATTGTCTGGATAAACAAATTTGACTGTAGGCCTACTCTGTATTCCTGGGTAATACATGTATTCTAATACAGAGAATATAAGTTTACATTGTGGAACATTATTATACTTGCCTCTTTACTTTTCAATGGAATTCAATAAAAATGTCACAGATCACATGAATCATACCTTTCTTGTGAGTGTTTTCTTTTTCTCCTCCCTTGCCGCTTTCGCTGCATCAATTTGTGACTGTTCTGTGATTATACAGGGAATAAATAAAAACACATTAAGATAAATATGTGTCACAGAGAGCATTACAAATTTAAACAGATGGATGAAAACAACTATGAAGAAGTAGGATGTAGAAATATTATTTATCTTGTTTTGATGTCTCAGTTAAATATAGCAATAATTGAGCTCGGTCATGAGAATAAACTTTCAAAGCACTGTTCTTTTCAGATTTTTGATGACTAATCTATTCTCTTACCAATCCCCCCCCCCCCTCCCCCCTCTAAAATTCATATTACAAATACCTGAAATTATAGAGCATTTAGAACAATCTTCTTCTTTTTGTACATCAAATAACAAACACATCTTGAAATATGTAATACTTCATACAAGTACCATGTACGTAGTCATTAAAGGCCCATTCTGTAACTTTTGACAGAGTTTATATATAGAACTGTTGTAGGAAAGAGGGTCCTAATGTTTCGAACAGTGCACTATGTTTTTCAAGAGTGAACTCTTTCCGAAGATACACGACAGTTCTTTTATGAAGGAATCCCTCAATGTAAATGGTGCTTCTGTGAACTTTCATATATTTCTAGCTGTTCCCCCATGACAAGTCATCATATCACATCTTGTTTCTTGCTCTTCAATGCACAGAGCTCACATATTTACCGTGTCAGAAAATTGATGAAAATGGACCATGGAGAATTTCTTTCTGATACTTCTTAAAGCATAATGAAGTGAAATGCTATTCGATATCACGTGCTATAAAATGATGAAGCAGATCCTATTCAAGTGATTGGTTGAGAGCGTACACGTGACCAGGCATTTATTTTGCCTAACAGGTAATTTTACTTATGACCGGTCATTAGTAAAATCATGTTATAAAACATCATTTTATGAAATAAATAAAACATCATCTTATAAAACACATAATACACATTGTTTTGTTTGGGCATTAGTAAATTACCCAAACTCGGTACCTTGAACTACCTTCGAAACAGTCCAAGCACCCTTGGTTATCGCTTCGGGCGTACGAGACTGTTCCAAAGGTACCTCGTGTGGGTAATTCTTACTAATGCTCTCACTGATACGTATAATTTGTCTACTATCCTAATAGCTTACCTCTGTATATATTCCTTTGTTCCAGCTCTTCCTGGGTTGGTCTTTGACTCAGCCTCCTGCAAACGTAGAAAGAAAATTGAAATAGGAGAAAAACATGAAATACGGTAGCCTAGAGAAACACAAGCTTTCGTTCCAGCTCTGTGTGCCACTACTGCTCATGTTTATTATGAAATACATTTATGAAGACTTTTTATTTTAATGATTACAACTTGAGAAGACACTCACAGAGAAGATATTGAACTTACAGTCAACCTCAATTTTTGCGAAGTTGATTGTACATATACGTTATCTTATTATTGTGTCTACAAAATTTAAAAAAAAACACCCCCTAGCAAACAAAATTACAAAAGCACTTTTAAACTTAGGCTTCCTTGTATACTGTAAATATGTTTATCAACGAAAACAATTGAGTGTTCATTACCGGTATGTAATCAATTGGAAGTTCTGGGGCTTTATACTGCAGGAAGGGGATGCTTTTGTTTGAACAAAGGTTTGGGGTAAGTGTTAGCTACACATGGATTGAACTCACTATATGAATTTACCACCTGTTAGGGATCACTTGTAAAGAGAAGTGCAAATTGTTTCTATTCACTTGAACAAAGCAACCCCTATCCCTTAACCTGCTTTTGTTTCACTTGAACAAAGCAGCCCCTGTCTCTTAGTCTGCTTTTGTTTCCAACATCCCCCTACCTTCTAACACTTCTTCTATTTCAAACTTCAAGGTTTTGTCATATCAAAAGCTTAGTCATCTCCAATCAACCCTTATAAATCATATATCTTGAAAACATTAGCTTTTCAATGAGCTGCATTATGAAAAGCATTAACTTTATAGTGGCAAACATTTGGTGATTTTGGTAATTCTGTTTGCTAGGGGGTGGTCTTATTTTATTATTATTTTTGTTGTTGTAGAGACCAATGCCAGTAGATGGTGAGAGCGAACAGTGGCATGAATGGCCAACTTAAAGTCAATCTTAGTCTTTGTGAAACACTCCCCAGTACAACCAAAGGGTGACAATACTAACCTTACAAGTGCAGCACCAATCTTATCCTTATCTATCTTCTTAGCATCATCTGTTCTCCTCGGGATGATATTCCTTTCTTCCAGAATCTTAATGCTTGGTCTGTTTTCAAGCTTGATGGCAAGCGAGTTATTCCTCTTAACTTTGGCCGCGAGTGAAGCTAAAATGAATGAAAATTGAGTTAATCACAGTTAAATCTTTCATTATTGAAAAAGAAATTATATTGCAATATGAGGACTAAAGATTATGGGAATAAGATACATGTAGCAACAAAATAAGATGGCAGGAGTGGTGCAAACAACAATTAGTATAAAGTAACAACTGGGTTAGTCATTGATTTCAGAGCGTATCAAACCGAGTGCATCTCCACTGGGGGATTATCCCACTAATTGGTCAAATAGCATGCTATTTTAATAGTGAACAAGCCCTAATTTGCTTGGGGGTAAAAAAAATCAACTTAAGGACAATGGTGAAATAGTCCACTAATTGTGTCATCATTCTGCATTTAGCTCTACACGTAGCAAATTTGGGAGCAGGAGCATTTCCCCAGATGACAATTAGGGGCTCCATGTATGTTGAGATCTTGGGCTAATGAATAAAGATTTGTTCAAGCTTGCCAAGGGAAAACAGAGGTTAAAAAAAGAAAAAGAAAAAAGTGTCCCAACCACCTGACAAATAATCACGGACAGACTTTATAAAATTAAGAGGCCAGCAGATAAGGAGTACAGTATGAAGAAAATAAAGAACAATGTTAAAAGAACAATATAAAACAGAACCAGTCGACATGGGTTCCATGCAAGCCTTATTCTATGCGAGTGCATAATTGTGCAAAATTGCTTGTGTGGGACACAAGCGACTGTACAAAGAGACAAAGAAAGCAACCAAAGTGCTAAGGGACTACTTACTGCAATACTCCTCCTCTATGTCACTATCGTCATCATCGTCTTGCCTTGCGTGGTTATCGTAGTCGCTGGTGGAGCTACTGTCGTGTGATACGTCTCCGTTGCATTGGGCTGGAATGGATTCTACTCCTCTGTATATCAGTAAAAAAAAAAAAATAGAACAAAAATAAATCAAAAATAGAATAAGAATAACAAAACAAACAAAACAACACAAGAAACAACAACAAACAGACGAACAGGAAATAAAGTAGTAAGTATGCAAAAAACATAAGGAAGAAAGTTGAGTATTCAAATGATTGTATTATAAATCAAGAAAAAAGCTGTCTATAATATTCATAATGATTAGTTATGCAATACTGGATTCGCTACCTCATTCAAAATAAACAAAAACGAATTAAACAAAATATTAAGAAGTTGAATATTCTTGTGATTGTATTATGAATGAAATTGAAAGATGAAGCTGTCTAGAATATTTAGAATAGTTGACTCGATGTACATGTATGTACGTGTAGTAGATAGGAACAATGTGTACTCTAAGCTTAAAAAAGAATCACCTCAATCTTAGTTGCTCCTGCACTGCACACAGAAATGGGTGTGTGGGGCAACATACATGTGACATAAGTTTGGTCTAAACTTTTCAAATGTCCTCATTTTACTAAAAACATGAGACTCCCCTTTTTAGTGTCTTTAAAGGCAGTGCTTCCCTTTTGCAGCCAACATCAAATTATGTAGAACTTTGCATGAATTATGAATAAGTCATGTACATGTATGTCCTATCTGTAAAATTTAAACGTTAGCAGACACTATTGAGTGATGGATCTAGATGAACTTACGTGTCAAAGTTGAGTTTCTTTGGGGCTACTGCTGGTGAGTTTTTGGCCCCTCTCCCTTTCACAGTGGGTGGTGTTCCTTTGGCTTTGTTATCTAGACGAAAAAGGGGAAAGTTTTCAAAATTATACCATGACAAAAAAAATTGAATTGAAAATGATGGGAATAGATACAGAAATACTATGGGGCGAGCAAAACTCAAGAGAGACAAGAAAAAGAGAGAGAGAGAGAGAGAGAGAGAAAAAGACAGATAAACACACAAAAATGAGAAAGTGTGCCAAACCTTTCGCGAAGGAAAAGACATAAATTTACAGAAGCTCTAACAAAACAGTCCTTTGCAAATACATTCAACAATTTTTCTCCCATTGGTAATCTACAACATAGCGAAAAGACAAAGGCCTACCGGTACTTTGTTTGTTCCTACCGTACATCAAGATACACATACATGTGGAGTATTGTGTACATCTAGGCCAAAATGATTTGATTGCTTAAAGGTAAAGACCAGTATTGGAAATGCCCCAATTTCAAAAAATGAAATGGAAGCTCTCATTACCAATCATGTGAAAGAATATGTTTTGACTAATACATGATGATAACAAGTTTGCTGGGAAACCGCATACTAATTCATATATTTGGTAAATTTGTTTCTCTCATGGTCTGTGAGAGATATAGGGTAGTCCAATATACATCTTTCTGTGTATAGTGCTTGTAACTTTACGAAGAGTGGGCCAAATTTCTTATCATTTTGACAATTCCAGAACCTTGCAGATGCTAGATGTTAGATGATCAACCTTTTCTGATCGATTCCACAACGTTTCTTTCACAATGCAATCGCATGACCATAACTGGTCTTTACCTTTAAGTTATCGAAGCTATGTCACAAAAACCCATACGTGTCAAGCCCTGGGCAAATATAACTTTCAAAGTTTGCGATTATTAATCACACAAACAGCTGCTTATCACAGGAGATGGCATATTGGTGAAAGTGGTTAAAAATTGCCCCCAATTCTGTCTCTCTTGGCAAGCACATTTTCTTTTCCATTACAGCCCTTTTCACCAAGTCTCTGGAAGTCTTCAATTTGAGACTTCCGTTTTGGAACGACATGAACACAGGGGCGTCCCTGGGAAGAGAATGTTTCCTTCCCAACAGTCACGCACCCCTCACGCACCCCTCCTGTACCCCTCAATGAAGCTGTCTGAAACATGAACGGGTACAGGAGGGGTGTGTGATATACCCCTTGTGTACTTTGTGCTCCTCAATGAAGCTGGCTTCGACGGTAAAGGGTTCTATCAATCATATGAGGGGAATATTAGGCACCCCTCAATGAAGCCGTCTTGAACATGGAAGGGTTATTGAGAGGTACATCATGCCCAACTAATCTTAGGGGGGGGGGGGGGGTGGTACACGATAGGTGTGTGATGCACCCCTAAATAAAGCTGTATTACCGGTAATGGAAGGGATATGTGAGGGGAATATTATACGCCCCTCATGTACCTTCAATCAAGCTGCCTTCAACATGGAAGGGATATTTAAGGGGTACACGTATAGTACATCATGCCCTACTAATGGAGCTGTTTTTTTTACATGAAAGGGGTACATAATGAGCCATTCATGTATTGTAACTCGCGATAAAGCTGCCGTCAACAAAAAATGGTTCCATCAATATCATATGAGGGGGAAATCAGGCACCCCTCAGGTACCCCTTTATGAAGCTGTCTCCAACAAGAAAGGGGTACAAGGGGGTACCCAAGGGGTGTGTGATGTACCCCTCAATGAATCTGTATCCATCTTGAAAGGGGCAAATGAGGGGTACAGAGTACGTCATGAATTCCTCATGTTCCCCTCAATGAAGCCGTCTTTAACGTGTAAGAGGTACATGAGGGACAAATCATACACCTCTTATGTACATCTACCCCTCCATAAAGCTCTCCTCACGTAACAATCCCACATGAGGGCACCCCTCGTACATCCCTCGGTAAAGCTGTATTCAATATGAAAAGGAACAAACCAATGGGACTAGAAAAGGAGCGACAAAGTATTTCTGCACAGCGTCTCAAGGTTACATGTACTTAAATTATCCAGGAAGAGAAGAAACTAAAACCTAATAATTGGCCTTCTTTGAAGATAGAAGATTGAAAGTGACTTGCTTGTTTTAATTAAAAAAAAGTGATCACAATCAAAACCGAGAGTGCCAAAAGTAGAATGCTTTGTGAGACATCCTGGTGTAAAGCTGAGATCTATTAAATGGGATTGTTTAGAAATAAGGATGATATTTTAGTTTCTGTATCCAAGACTGAACTCCCATAAAACTGAACTAAGAACCAAAGCAATGCACTTGAAATCATTTTGATGCTGCTACATTTTATGTACATGTAGGTTAATGTACACTTAGGTGACCTCCTTACACCTACTTACAGTAATCCTTTCAGAGTTTCAGGGCAGGAATATTCAGAGGCTAAATCGATTACATTTAATTCTTTGGGTTGGCAACAATAATGTTTTTCTGTAATTGCTACAGTATTTTATTATAATACTATATATTTCCTTTAAAAAATTGAATGGTTGTGAGCTTTATCTCAACGAGTTGTCAATTTCAGGATTTTGAACGTTATTACCGTAAGAGACTTCTCAGGTTTCTTCATCTTCTAAAGAAACAATGAAATCACACAGGAATACAATTTCCTAGGAAAAAGCTGCTGACTGGACATTCAAATTTACATGTACCTGGTGTTTTAATCATTGGGTTGCCTTTCCTTTTTGTGATTGAAGGTATAACAGCTTTAGAAATAAACTTTTCTTCCTAACTTGGACAAAATTATATCATGGACCATAGTAAAACAGATGCATACAGTATCTAAAGAAAAAGTAAGCGGTTGGATATTTACTTTTACCTGGCGTTTTTATCATCGGTTTGCCCTTTTTCGCTGGTAATGAGGGGGAGCTCTTTCCTTTTGAAGATACGGGTAATGCCACAGGACCCTTGAACTTTGAAGGGGTACCGGTACCTCTATCCCCGGATGCGGTCACATTGGCAACGGGTTGACCGCCTGTCTTCGTTGGGTCAACATCGTTGTTGATTTCAGCCTGAGTGACGGCAGGATCGGAAGAATCTCCACCTCCATCTAGTGGTAGAGAAATTAAGAGAAAATAGAAGGAAAGAGAATTTCATAAAAATACATCTTCACAATTGGCTTGGAGATGATACTGACAATAATGTAATTGCATCATTATCTTGATGTGTAATACTCAACACAATATCTGGGCCCCGTTTTACAAAGAGTTGATATCAATCGCAACTATGTAGATAAAAGATAGGAGACTGCAAACTTGTGATTGATTGGAGGACTTGCAATTGATTTGGATCAATCGTAACTCTTTGTAAGATGGAGCCTGCTTCTCAATAACTCATATATCATCTTTCCCTATGATGATATCGATAATCCAACATCAAAATTGAAAGTGAAACCATAATGATTTCTGTATTTTATTCAAATACAATACTTTACTTGGAATAACCACATGTAAAAATTGTAAGACATGGACTGCCCATTTTCAAACAAGTGCATGCGGGAAAGAAAAGAAAAAAATCACTTGTTTGATCGGTTACCTTTCCACATCCACTTCTTAGAGTCCTGTACCAGCTTGCCAGGGTATGCCACAACAGAGCGCAGTTTATCCCACCACGCCATAACAGCTAGATTCCTGTCAACAACTCACTGTTCTTCCTTATTCAACTGAGATAGTAGGGCCGAATAGTTACCGGTATCTCTATAGTTATACACACTGAGTGTTGAGCAGCAGCAGACTCATACCAATTCGTATAGATTTAGACTTGGACCAGGTTTCACAAGTATATACCAAGACAACGCCTGTGAAACCAACCTCCTGCTAATTGTTTTAAGGTGAGACTGGGTTGATTGAAGAGTAAAACTGTCCGCGGAAAAAAAGAATCTGGAACGTTTCTCCTACCAGGTATCTATCCAACATTCCAGCTCATTCAAGCTCAAGTTTGATCTTAGTAACTTGGAACAGATTTCACCAGATTGCCAGCCACGACTCCTCCTGTAAAGTCTGGTTTCAATTGTGGACCTCGATCCCCAATCCAGCTGATGAAAAATTATTATTCACTGCAGTGCACTGCCAAGGGGCAAATGACTTCCTTGAGACTGCGTAAAGAAAATTATTCTGAAATTATATATCCCTATTTACGGAATGTAGAGACAAGAACAGACTGCAAGGGATGATGGATCTGACATGCCAGGAAAATGTTCACTTCAAATGAAAATCAGGAAACGCCATCCAAGATGGAATGATGAAATGCAACAGGAAATCAGTAGATGAATGAAACGCAATTAAACATGTATGTCAGCGTCAATGTCAAAACTGAAGCATGTGCTGGAACTTGTACCAATATCATGCACATTTCCAAGTGCCCAGCATGGTACATGTACATGTAGGTAACAAAGCATGAGATAGCATGTCGTATCCACAGCAAACGAGATGAAATAAAAAAATAAAAAAATCATTCTCCACTTTTAAAAGGAACACTGCTGTCCCCTCATATACATGTACAAATTAAAATAATTAACCTCTTACATTAAGAAAAAACTGATAATTAAGTTCTTTGAAATTTGAGCTAAATTAACCCACCGACTACTGAATTTTTGTCTTCACATAGACATTGCACAGGACCGATTCGGTTCCCATACGCAAGGGGTTAAAATGGTGAAACTGCATTGATCAGGAGATCGTCTGAGAGGCAAAACGTGTACATGTACATGTAGTGCGTATCCTACTGGCTCTCAGCAAACGATCAGTCTGTTTAGAGCCATAATAATAATAATAATAATAGCTCGTTCTTATATAGCGCTTTTCAGGACCGGAGGCCCTCACAAAGCGCTTTACAGATAAGTATATTATTACCCCGGTCATTGGATTCAGGCTTACCCACACACAATGTATGCACATTCTCCACTCCCTGGGGAGCATTCCAGCCAGGCGTCATTTTTACATGCGCACACTTGCTCTAACCACATTAGCTTTTGCATCCTACCGGGTGCCCATTTAACACCTGGGTGGAGAGTGGCAAATGTAGATCAATGTCTTGCCAAAGGACATTAGTGCTGCGGCGGGACTTGAACCACGGACCTTGTGATCCACAGTCCGGCGACTTATCCACTCGTCCACAACACCTCTACATAAGGTGTTTATAAACTCATATACCTGAAGGGCAATCCAACCCTTGATTTAGGCTCATTTGTATGAAAGCAAAACAATATGAGAAACAGACAAGTGAAGGTTTGAAATAAATCTGACTAATAATAAGAAAGCTATGAATATAAAGTCCCTGCGAATCCCTAATTGGCAATTTGTCAGTGGATTGTGACAGAGTGACGTACATGTATATATAACTCTTTCTGTTTTTCTCCCAAGTGCCTTCACCCTTGGGGCACTACTCAAAATATATTATATGGAGAGTGTATTATTACAGGACTTCTAATATCTAATATTGATCAGAAGAGACCTTTAATACAGGTCATACAAGAATTACAAGTCAATCAAATGCAAATATATTAAGACTGAAAAGCTTCAGAGGTCTAGAGGAGACTAGAGGTACATGTACATTGCTAATAGTGAGTCATCAAGTTGAAGACGAAGATACATGTACCTGCTATAATAACATATATATTTACATCAGTAGATGCCCAAACACTGTGTAAGAGGGTTGGAATGTTCAAATACAATCTTCTGTACTGTACATACATGTATGTGCATGTTTTATTTAAGCTGTTATGAGAAATATGATTGCCTCTTCCCAAAGAGGTGTACATGGAAAACATTAAAGATACATGTGGGTTACAAATAGACAATACCAACCAAATTAAATATTAAAAGTTGTTTTTAATGATTTGCATTTGTTGTTATTACTGTACGTTTGCCCTGCCTTGACCATTAATCAGGTCAAGCCCTGGGCTTTTCTTATTATGTTCTTCTTTTCTTTATATGTCTTTGTCATTTCTGTTCCTTTAGTGTCCATAAAAAGATGTACCTGTGCATGTACCTACTCCACTTGTATGTGTGATATATATTTAGTTTAATAAATAAATACATTAAAAGATGTGCAAATCATTGACAAAATGAATGAATAAGTAAATACATAAATTAACAAACAAATAAATAACCCATGCATAGCAGTACATGTATGATGTTGTTTGATGAATCATAATAGAAGCGGTATTTTGCTGTTGACCCGTTATTGTCTTCATCCAAACACGATCATTGTGTTTACTATATGAAACAGAACCACAGGTAAGTCTATATGATCCTATATCCGTGGTGGGATTACCACGTCCGTCCATTAACCTTTACAAGGAAATCCAACAATGGTAGAAATATGAACACTGCAGACCTCCATTTAATCCTAAAAATGTGATCATTTACACGGCAAGCAAAAACCTTCATTTTTTTCTCAATTTCGATAGTTAGGCTAAATAAAAAAACAAAACATGTTTAGCGTCCTGTTTTTTTGAAAAATAGGAAGGAGGAGGCCCTTTTTTTTTTCTTTCAAAATGGCCGCTCATAATGGCCGCTCGGTACATTTTCCCTGACATTCTGGCTATTTTCCAAGATGGCCGCCGATGTTTTTTTTTTTTTTTAAATCAGAAATAGATCCATTTTAGCAGTGTTTTTCTTCTTTGAAAAAAAAAAAATTCAAAAAAAATTTCAAAAAAAAATTTCAAAAAAAAAAAATCAAAAAATGTCAACAAAAAAAAAAAAAAAAAAATGGGAGGCGGCCCCCAAAAAGGAAGCGGGTGGGGACGCTAAACATGTATTTTTTTTACATGGCCTTAGAGTTGGAGTGTGGTTTCTTAAACGCCAGCCAAAATCTCCACCGGCTTGTGGTCGAGTGACTCTCCTCCTTTCTGGGCTAATAAATGCTGAGCAATGCCAAGTTGCACATGTTCACAAAAAAAAAAAAAAAATTTGTTTTCTTTCTGTAATGTAAATGAGCCTACTGTTTATACAAAAACAAAAACTATAGGTTCTACAGAATTAGATTTCTGTTTGTGAAAGATACCTTCAGTCAGAGTTCAAAGATTATTTTAGTCTCCAGTATTAATAAGGAAAAAGCTTGTTTTCCTAACTGAAGGATAATTGGATAACCATATGGTTTTCATGGAAATGAAATCTGTCATGAAGCGCTAAAAATAATTATCTGTTTTATAGGGAGGAAGCTCTTTTAGGATTCATTTTTTGTTGTTGCAATTTTCATAGTCATATCTTAATATTTTATTGCTTTTCACCATCATGATCGATAGCTCTCCTGTGTATTTCTTTTGCTGTACACATGTGATGTAGACTTAACATGCAAATTTACATGCAGACATGTCTGTTTATACCTGTACCTGCCAACCTCTGAAAGCAAAAGTTGAGAATCTCGAAAGACAAATGTAGGAATACAAATCTAGGAATACAGTCCCATGTTTTATACTTTTTAATGCAAAAATTTGGAAATGGAGAGGAGTCTTCAATCTAGGGTTCATGACATTAGTCAGAAGGCCATGTACAGTATGTAAAGAGCCAATCGGTAAAATGAAAAGCACTTGCCAACTTGGCGATTAGTCTTAACAAACAAAAACTGAAACCAACGTAACAAAACCCGGTTCTTTCTTTGATTTAAAGTACCAATTATCTTTTAAAATGATTATAAAGCGAAGAGCCGAAGACTACATGTTGCATCACTGCATCTTGGGTTCGACCTGAAGTAGCATGTGAGAAAAATCAGTTCAACCTGCCTCACAGGTACAGGTACAGGTACGTCATGGATCAAACAACCCAATATACTGACACAGCGGTCTGGTATGCTACTGGTGAAAGTCGAGGCAAGCAGACGAAACCGGATCCTTGCTGAAACGGCAGGGATGCCAGGACAGTAGGCCTTTCTTCATCAGCTCGAGATTGCCAAATATCCCGCTATTTAAACTATCCCGATCGAAAATTATCCAGTTACTGTAATTTGCGTCATCATCAGCCCGAAGGTGCAATTAGTGGGATATTTGGTCGAGATAATCATCCCACAATATCTTTGGCTAGTTTGCAAAATATCCTGCTATTTTCTCCG